GGATGCCGATTGACCTATTTCTAAATTTATATAAGATTTTTCTAATATAAGGATTGAATTAATCACCCCAATGGTTAGTGAAACAGCAGATATTTGCTTTGCTTCAGGAAAGTCTGACTAGACTTGATATTGAAGCGTGTTCTTCTTTGATGTCTTTCTTGGGATGTATTCCACTGGATTGTTTCTTTTTTTGTTTTGGTTTTTTGCTTTCTGTATACTGGAATGTACAGGATTTGGTTTCATCAAGTAATGAACATTATATATGAAAAGTAATCTCCTGTTAAGTGCGGTATGTTTGTCGTTTGTCTAGCTTTTTCCCTTTCCCACTGTGTCTGTGTCTCCCTTGATTAGAAAATTAGGAGAGTTTTGTTTGAACTAAATTTTCCTCTTTTGGGTCACTAAAATAGTATGATTTAATTACTACAATAGCCTCCTGAAGGAGGTGGTCTAGATGGAAGCAACTGTTTCTTTGCATCACAGCCTACTTCAGAGAGTAGTATGTGTCCACGGCTAATGAAAGCATCTGCTCAACAGAGGTTGTGATTTGAACGATGTCTAGAGACAGCACCTATCTGATGGAAGGCAGTTCTGAAATACTTCCTGTTACTGTTAGTCTCCCTAAGTTGTTTGAACTTTTGTTTTCGAAGTCCTTCAATAGTATGAATCTTATGGTAATTCAGGAACAGCTAATACTCTCCTCGAAAAGACATCTCCAGTAGTTGTACATGGTGTATTTGTAGTCTATAAATAATACTTTCATTTTTTGAGCCAGATGAGATACTGGGATAGATTAAACCTGACAATTTGAACTAGAACAGAGAAAGCCATGAAAGCATTACTTGGAAAAGACTGTTGCTTTGTTTATCCAGGTGGATGTGAGTGAATGTAACTTAATAATTTAATAATAGCTACAGAGCAAAGGTTTCAGCATGGATTCTTTTTTAATTCCGTGAAAGTCACTCAATGTTGCTTGCAACTCTGATTTGGATTGCTTAGTCCTGTGCTTGCTGTGTCCACATGACTCTCATCAGGCTTTCTGTTGTTCCTATTCTTCTATCCACAAAACCTGAATTGACTACTGTTATAGAATGAGATGTGCGCTTCCAGTTTTGCTGCTCAAAATCTCTCTTCAGTGTTCTTTCACTGCTGAATCAGCTCTGAAGCAGCTGTGAAGGCTTTATTTTTCTCCCAGAGCCAATACAAAAATAATTGCATCACGTTGATTTTTTTACTGCCGTTTTCTTTTTTTTCCCCTGGATTTTTGCCTGTCGTCTTTTGTGAGATGTGGAAAAACTTGAATTTTGCTGTAAGCTTATTGCTTTGAGAGTTGCAAGAGGTGGATTGTGATACTGAGAGGTTGCTCTGAACCTGTGCAATGTTAAAGGTTCGAGGACAACTCAGGATGGAACTTTTTTTTTAAAAATAGGTCTTCCTGTTGTACATATTATCATATGTTTACATTAGCTTTAAGTGATGTAGAATGATAAGGCTCTTAGTAACAGATGATAAGTAGAGATAAGTGCTGTTTATGGGTTTAGGATGTAGTAGCTATAAATAATATTTGATACTCATGTATTCTTAATTCTTTAAAATGCACCTGGTGAGGTCATTTGCAAAAGTATTCTTGGCCTACTTTTGCTGCTGTTGCCTTTATAGCGAAGAATTAGGCCAATACTTATCACTTATGAAAATTCCTGTCCTAAATTTATTTGGATTTGCCTCAGCCTCACACTTTTGATTTGTCTTTTTGGAGTAGACCGAAGTAAGTGGTACTGTGTGCTCCAGAGGAAAGGTGGGAACAAACACAGTTCTGAGGCCATCCTGTGGCATGGGGAGGAGGAAAATGTATTGAACCTGAAGCAATTGGATCATGATGACCTCAAAACATCAATTTCAGCTGTAATCTTAGCTTAGTTAGCAAAACACTGATTTTTTTATGCCTGCTTTAAAGTTGTAATTGCTTTTGTACCTGGTAGCCTTAAGTTCCACAGGTAATGTAAAGTATCAGTCGCCCTAGAGAGGCCCAGTCACTGCTGCTGGCAGCCAGAATATGAGAGTCAGTTTGGGATGCAGGATCAGTGTTTTCACACCTTCCTGGAAGAGTAAGTGGGTTGTTGTTGAAGGGCAACCACAGTTTTCTTTTTTTCTTCCTGAACTTGAAGAGAATTTTAAAGAAGGACCACAAAGTAGTTGTTGGAGCATGCAGCAGTTTTCACAGATGAGTTGGGCCATGTTCATTGTTCATATACACTTTCACGTTCAAATCTGGAATTTTCAAGGTAATAAGTTAAATTACTGGGAAACACCAATAAAATAATAATAAAAAACTTTGGAGAGAGGGCACATTTCACTCCTGCCTTCTTCAGGGCTGGTAACAAAGGCCTTTTCTTCAGCCCATGTAGTAAATTAATTTGAAGGAATAAAGGAAAATTCAAAAGCCCAATTTTGGAAGCAGACTGACAAAATACTTCAGGTGCTCTCTGTCAGATTTACCCCACCTGTCTCCTGCCCCTCGTTTAAGCACCTCTGTTTAGGTGGCAGAGTCACCTTCAGCTCATTTCAATTCTGGACAAGGGCCCGTCTCTCTCTCTTTTTGATTCCAAAAGGACAAATGGCATTGCCCTAGGAGATCTTAAGTACTTAGGTGGCGTAAGTCTGTGTCTAGATGACATCAACGTTAGCAGGTAAAGCAGTGCAGTAAAAGTCGACCTTTGTAGTGAATCAGTTAAAGGTGAGGACCCAACATCTACACCAGGATGGCGTATAACTTACCTCTAGTGTGTCCTGGAGATACACTCACAAGGTACTGATGACAGCAACTTTCAGTGCATTTTGCTGCAAATTAGAGCCTGTTTCTTGCCATGAACTCCTCCAATCTTTGCCAAAATGCCAGATAGTCACCAATGAAAGCCAAGTGATAAAGTGCTCATTTTGAACATGGAGCAGTGAAGAGGACAGGCAGTTATTTGAGTGAATAGCGTGCCAAAAAAGTAAAGCACTTGCTGCATGGTACTTTGAAGGGGTACCTGAACGATGAGTTTGCAGGAAGCATGTTTCCATTCCTGTTGTGAATATTTGACCTCTGCTTGTTAATAGAGATGTTATCATTAAACTCTTTTACTAAATGCAGCTTGTAACTAAGCAAGAAAGTTATACATTTACTCCACAGTTAAAAACCTGTATAAAGTGAGATAAATCTGAACCTGTTAAAAGTGCTAGTCATTAATGAAATGCCACACAAATTTATCTTCTGGATAGGAAGCGACTATACCTTCTCCCAAACGCACTATTCCTAATCACACAGTAGTAATTTCAGTGTAAAACCCATGTGCTAGGCCCAATTCAGACCTTGCTATCACATTGCTGTGCTGTTGTGCCTTTCTTAGGCTCTTGCATTGTGCTCACTGGCTTTGTACCTGTCTGATGGTTCCTGGAAATAATTGCCAAGCTGACTCACCAGTGAAAGAGCCTCAGCAGAGCTCGCTTTCTCACCTGACTTTTGGAGACTCGGGCTGTTTCATTACTGTTGCTGAGCATAGATTTGCTCTGGGGGTAACTGAGTATTTCTAATTAGGTAAGGTAAATGCCACAAAGAGAGACCTTGTTTCAGGTGGAAAGAGGGCATGTTGGTTGAAATGTTACAGCAAACTATATTGCCAAAGAGGCACTGTAGATTGGAAAAGGTCTTTATTCAGAAGTTGGATGCTTCAGACTACGGCAGTAGGGAGAGAGGTTTTCTGCAGCATACTGTTGCCTTCATCTTAAACATAGCACCTGGTTTTATTTGTTGGGGGTTTTTTTGTTTGTTTATGTGGGGTTTAGTTGTTTTTTTCTTAAGGGAAATGAATTCTTTTTTTTTGTTTGTTTATGTGGGGTTTGGTTGTTGTTTTTTTCTTAAGGGAAATGAATTCTTAAAATACACAAAGTGTTTTACTAGGGATCTGAAAATGCTGCTTCTCTCAGAATAGTTCAGGACTGTTCTGACAGTGCAAGCAAGGGGATTGTGAAGTAGTGCCTCCTTGTTTCAGCAATGACATTTCTCTTCTCTTTGTGGAAACTTCCTTACCTTCCTCAGTGGTTGTTCTTGCACTTTTCCTAATGTGCAAATTCCTTGCCCGAGACAATAAAATCTGAAGTGATACACAATTCACAAAGCTCCTCTACCACCCCAAATTTTGGAAAGCACCACCCTTTTGTTATGTTCTCTGTTTGCTTTAAAAAAAAAAAAAAATGCAGTTACCATGACAACTCTTGCCCACACTGGAAATCCATTATTGGGAGTTTCTGGCATGTTTTTTATTTGCATATGCTGCAAACAGCACTGTTATTAAACAGACTGTTAATTATTCTCCCAGTCACTGACTGAGACAACTGATGTGACAATAGTTACAACTTTCTGATTCCAGGCAAGAGTGGTCATGCACAGCTCTATGCAGCTGAGTTTGCATGCTCACTACTTTTACGTATTGCTCTTTTATCTAGAGATTTTTTTTTTTTTCCTTACAACCTGAAGCCATGCTTACTTGTTTAAATTATCAAGGAACTGGGAAAAAGACGTATTTTTTGGGTTACCATCCTTTTTGTGAGACATTTTATTAGATGTTTTCTTCTCATTTTGAGGGTGTTTTGGTTCTTTTTAGATAGATATTTATTATACTCTGCGTGTGTCTTTACTAATCTTTTTTATTATTAATTTAGATCTTTAAAAAGATGCTTGATACTGTACTTTGTCCTCTGAATAAATAGTGGCAATTAAATCATGCATTTAGGATCCAAAATTCTTATTGTTCCTGTTTGAGGCGTGAAAATTTATCCTAAAGTGATTGAAGAATTAATTTCTAACTGTGCAGTAAAGCAGTTGAATTAATTTCTAACTGTGCAGTAAAGCAGTCAGCTTATATTACCAAAGCCTTTATTATGATTTCATGATCTGTGCTACAGGATGGCAATAAGAGATGGCATCTGATAACTTGGCTTTTTGTTTTTCTTTTCCCATTTAGGAATTTCCATGGGATGCAGATCATACCACTGGACTGTGTTTGGGTAAAGGATGAATTCTGCGTTTCTCTCAGGAGTCTTCCAACACATTTTCTAAATTACCTTTTCATAGTGTTCTAAGTGAGCTTATGTGAAACAAATGGTATTGGAACATGAGTGAAGAAAAAAGCTTTGGTGTATCCCAGAAAATGTTGTCTCCTTCAAGAAGTACTAGCAGCTGCTCCTCCAAGCAGGGAAGTCGACAGGTAATACAAACTTTTTCAACCAAACTGAAAGCATCACTAAGATTGGATGTTACTTTTGCTCACTCCTGAATATCAGTGAATCTCTTAAACTCTGTTTTCATGTTGCTTGTTTTGTTTCATCACTTCCCTGTTTTCCTTACTCTGTTTTCCTTTTTTGTTGGTAGCAGCATCTTGTTTTGAGTCAAATGCAGTAAACACATATTACTGAATAGCAGGCACTTGTAAAACTGGAATGCTAACAGTGAATTTGAATTTCTATCACATTGTATGTATGGTGTCTTTATAGTGAAATATTGCTGCTGTAGCGGTTTGGTCTCAGTGGGTTGATCCTGAAATCCCAAATCCTCCCTGTAAGTTACTACTTTTGTAGTAGAATATTGTGTAACTGCTCTGCTTATTTCAAGTTTCCAGGGAAAGGTGTGCATGCATTTGTGAAAGAACGCATTTTTCTGAAACTTGACATAGGGCCTCTTTGACAATGCAAAAGTGCCTGTGAATGCCTGCCTGTGCTGGTTATTGCTGTAGTACTATAGTTAAGAAAATAAGTATTTGTGTAACGTGATGCATCTGGGTGCCTAGTGCAAAGGATGCTTTGTTTTCTGCAGAGATGATGCTATTCTTTAAAACTTACAGTTTTAAAAGACATGTCTACAAGTATTTGCACCTGACAAGTGAGACTGCTGAAGAGAGCTTTTGTTTGTGGGCAAGAAACGTTGACCTGCATCCACACTGAGAATTAAGCTTAAACACGCTCAATCCATGCTTGCAAAATCATGAGCAATATGCTCAACATAAACTTTTATTTGTGCAGATGCTGGCTTAGTGGAGCTCTTGAAGCTGCCTCAGGTTGAAATTTTAATTGGAATTGAGCATCCCAATCCCCCAAAAGCTCTGGAGACCTCAGCTGTATTTTGAAATAGCATCTGCTTTTCTGGGACTTCTGGCCCTCTACATACACTTGGCAAGGCAGACAAATCTCTGGAAAATTTATGCCTTTTAAAGTGCTGTGCTTGTAAGAAAAACTGAATTTCTAGTATACCGAGCAAAGAAATCCTTGCTTTCAAGATGCCTTTTTTGTTTTCCTGCAACGTTATTTTTTATATCCTCGGTATGAGATTACCTTTAAAAAGTGTAATTTAAAACATTTGGTATTGTGTATTTCAACAGTTCATGTCTATCAAGTGTTACCATGTAGTATTTAAATAATAAGATTTACGTGAGCATGACTAAATCCATTGGTGTGTTACACAGCCAGTATAAGCAACCATACTTACGCAGAAGCAATTTCTGCAAGAACCTTGCTTATGCCATTTAACGTGATCAAATCTGTTGGCTAGCTCAGGCTTTTGATACTATTATTAGTGGATCCCATTTCTTATCCATTTTGTTCTCATCTGCTCTCTTTAAAGAAAAGGAATAATTCAGTAAGGTTTAATGTCATCTTGTCAATCCCCAATTTTTTAGTCTTTGATCCTTGTACAAAAATGCAAGGTGTACCTGACCAAGATGGGAGATGCAACTTGGTGTTTTGTTTGTATTCCTGGTACATCTGTGCTCATTCATTATAGTCAGGCAGACGGTAAATTGCCTCATACACCTGTCATGTCAAGCTAAATGGAGATATAAAGTAGGTTGTTTCCCAATGTATATTGAAGAGCGATACAGCTGATATTTCTTTGTGATAATATGGGGCATGGCAATAAGTATCTCTACTTCGATTAATGTTTCAGTATTAATCTTTTCATGGTCAGTCATTGCAATACCAAGTAAGTAACAGTATACTTTTGCATCTAGGGAACCTACATGGCTTGACTGATTGTCCATGTTTTCAGGGGGTGGTAATGATAGAGGGAAACCCACAGAAGATGGGGAGTTTGTGTGACTTGTTATATGCTGGGAAATGATCACTAAGCAGGGCTTAGTGATCAAGCTCTGCTTGCTTGCATTTTCTATATAGAAAAGCTCTGCTTGCTTGCATTTTCTATATAGCCTGAAAATTTACAAACATTTTTCAGAAATTACATGTGCTTTTTAAGGTTCCACTGGTCTTTCTGATATTTTTATTTTTAAATAGGGACTTGTAATATTTGTATGGAATACTTTAATCCTTTCTCTCTTTCCATCTTTACCAAGTGCAATAACTTTCTATCTTATCCTATAACTTTGTTTGCATCTGCTGAAGTGATCTAGAGGTCTTCCTTCAAAGTAGCAAAATCTGGAAAGAAAAAAAAAATTAATTCTAAATTACAGTTTCTTTCAGCATTGTCAGTGTTTATGTGCATGGCTGTGTATTGCTGTTCCTTCCTTATTTCCCTGATGTTTTTGGTGTTTTTCACATGGCTGTTTTTTCTCACTGAAGTTGTTTTGCAGTTTACGGAACAAACTCTTTTGCTGGGGAAACAAAGATTCCTGTGCAGTATGCACTCCAGTTATTTACTTGAAAATAACTTCTGTGGGTCATTTTCCCTTACATTTTTTTAATTTATTTGTTTTAATTATAGTTTGTGATGGTAGCATGTTTCAGTGGCTGTTTTGTTAGATATAGTCTTCTGTGCTGCATGTGGAAAGAGGGACCTTTAGGTCTAACAGAGGCAGTACTCTGCAAGACTTACTGGACTGGACACAGTAGTGCTTTGGGTGAGGAACGGTTATCTTCTCCCTGTTCCTGCTCCCCACAAGGCTCTGGTCTTGCAGATTATAAAGATCTTTACCTTGCTAGATAGACCCCCTCTTTAGTGGTGTAAACCATATAGTATAGCATATATTATAAAATCTGAATTGTTGGTCTGGGCAGTGAGGATGTTCTTGGGTCCTGTCCCTTTGCTCCCCCCTTCCCACAGAGAATTTCTTGTCACACCTAATCAAGTAGTTTTGTTTATATCATTAATTGCTTCTTTTCTCACTCAGCCTCTTGTATTGGTAAATTGGAGCTTCGCAGTCCGTCCCTACTAATATTCACCTACTCAGGGCTGACAAGACTAGGGATGAGTGATGCCACTGTCTGAGAGTTATTTAATTTGCCCTTTTCATCTGCATGTTAGTTGAAATGGCAGCACTTTAGGTGTTTTATTAAGAAAACAGCAACAATCTAAAGTTCTATAAAACCGTTAAAAATCCCCTAATCCAAAAAGTACCACATGTGCAACATACACCTCCAGCAGATTTTTTTTTTTTTTAATTTTAGTTTTTTCCAAAGACCTGGTAGAAGAGTATGATGCAACACTGTTACTGATACTTTTTTATTAATAGTATCATGCAAGTTTAAATAATTTGGCCATATGCTGTGCAGATTAGGGAGTGACGTGCTATGATTTTGATATTCTTTCCTTCATCTTCCAGCTCCATGGAGGGCTTATTCCTCCTTCAAACACTTCGCCTTTCTCAGGGACCTTCAGAGCTAGGCTCGTTGCTTGCAGGTTAACAACAGATCTGCCTGACAGGTGCTTTTCTCTGCGCTGCTGGTCTGACACAGCAGTTCTTTTAATCTGATTAAGTAGGAATTCTGAAAAGTGCAGGGGGAAGGGACCTGGAGAGTTTCGGGGGGGCAGCATTGCCCAAAAAATAGTGGGATCTGAGTGTTGAGTCTCTATGATTTCCTAGGCACAGACTGTTGCTGGTACACAGTAGCACCAAATAATAACTGACCTGAGGCTGGGATATGGAACCACAATAGTGTAAGGCTGCTGTGTCTGCTAAAATTTAGTTATGTGTCAGTGTGTTGCTGGTGTGGAGCATGAGTCTTGTGATGCAGAAGATGGGCCTCTGCTAGAAAGGAGTTGACTTAAGCAGGGCTGCAGGATGTGGAGGGGCCTACTTCTACTCGCAGAAGATGCCTCTGCTAGAAAGGAGTTGACTTAAGCAGGGCTGCAGGATGTGGAGGGGCCTACTTCTATAGATAGCTGGTTCCAAGCGCAGTCTGCAGCGGACCCACAACCCACAAAAAAGGAGTTGACTTATGCAGGATGTGGAGGGGCCTACTTCTACTCGAGCTAGATAGCTGGTTCCAAGCGCAGTCTGCAGCGGACCCACAGCCAAACAGCCAAAAACTCCCCCATCGGCACACACACACATTGGCCTCTGCAGGCCAAAGAGGAAGGTCCTGTCACACCAGGAGAAGCGCTGGAGC